TCAATCAATCAATCAATCAATCAATCAATCAATCAATCAATCAATCAATCAATCAATCAATCAATCAATCAATCAATCAATCAAACAAACAAAGTGAACAATGGCAAAAATGACTCTGCTGCCATCCTTCTTGTATGCTGTGTCTGAGTCAGTGGAAACCCCCACCCTGAACACAAGCTTTTGTACTGCTGTCTGTTTAGTGGTTTCTACTTATCGCGGTAATGGACCTGCCCAAAATGAAAGCGATGTACCAAAGTGCAGCTATTTGGCTGAAACACCAATTTTGGGTGTTTAAGTCAGATACTTGAACTCAACTTCAATTTTGTCCAGACTCGAGAAAGCTAAACAACATTTCCTGTTTCGATCCTTATCCCTTGCCTTTCATTGATGAGCTGCTGGAAAGACTAGGAAAGGCCAGATACATCACAACCTTAGATTTGTGTAAATATTACTGGCAAGTGCATTTAGAATACACAGCCTTTCCGATTCCAGGAATAGGTTTATTTCATTGCAGTGTTTTACCCTTTGGTCTCCATGGGGCACCCTTAACTTTTTAAAGGTTAATGGATATAATCGTTAAGCCTACCTGATGTGGTGATTTACAGTGACTCGTGGGAGGAACACCTACAACATCTAAAGGTGGTGATGGCAAAGATCCAGTGAGCTGGTTTGATCTGAGTGACTTTAACCTAACATTTTGCTTGCACATTGGTCCACAAAGGAGTGTTCAGCACTCATTTTACATCATTTAAGACCCACTATAGGGGAGTTGTGGAAAAACTTAGAGCTTCCTAACAACTCGAGATACTTTTTTTTTAACCCTGATGAGCAGCCACAGTACAGTGTGAAATACTACTACACACAATTGGGTTATTCTGCCCTCTGTTGAAAATGTAAGAGCATAGCATGAGCTTGGGTTCAGATTTTTGACTAATATGACTCAAAGACATTCAAAATAAATCTCTCTTCAGTAGGTGAGTGGGTGTCCTGTGAGAGCTATGGAGAGGCACAGCTCATAACAGGACTAAAGGTCACTCCACAGGCAACACAGGACACTCAGTGTAACAATAAACATATGCAGTTTGAGCATGTTGGCCTTTACTGAGAATTTACTGTAACATGATGGTGTGGATCGGTTTCATTTTTCACTGCATATTCCTTTCTTATCAGCTTATAAATGTTACAAACTAAACAGCTGTTTTTTATGACTTTAAATATTTGTTTTCAGCCATCACCCAGTGCCTGCAGGAGCCTGCATGTAGACTTCAAATGTCAGCGGAACAAACCTGCTGTGTTGAGGGCCACTTATTCTGATGTATGAAAGGATCTGCTGCTCCAGTGCTACTTTCATGAGTGTTTTGCTGTTAAACAAATAAATAAATCTGTCAAATGTGACAGATTGCAGAATTCCATTCAGTTTGGAATGTTTTTTATGAAGTTTCCTAAAAGATTTAAAGCCAGCCTTTTTTACCTGTCCTTTCCCTAACAGTCTCAAACTTTTACACATTATGGGCACATTTCCAGGAGTTTGTAACTGCAGCATGCTTATTTCCTCCTGCTGGTCACAGAGCATGTCTATTGAGCAGTTTGTCCTTGCCTAAAGGCAATAGGAAAGTACAATGTAATGACAAACAAACACCATCACATGGCAACTGACCGCATGTGACCAACCCCATTTTAGCTGTTTTTCCTGTACAATTATTGTGTAATATAATCGGTTTTTGTACATTTCAGATGCTGAAATATAAACTGCAGCAAACAAATGAACTTTATTTTTAATCACAATCTGTGAAAAAATAAATAAATAATATTTTTAAGACGTTTAATATGTTGCATCCACAGGTTGTGCCATAAGATACTTTTTCATAAACTTCATTTATGCTAAGAAAAAAATAAGGTGAGTTTAAATCACTTTACAGCACATGCATCCATGCACTCAAGTACCCCTAGAAGAGGTCGTTTGTCTCTAGTTCAACTTATGCTTTCATTACCTATGAATGAAAACCAGCTTAGTCAGAGGCAAAAGAAACCCCGATTTTATTAGTGATTATAGAAGTAAACTTAGCTCACGCCCATTTCTGACAAAACGAAACTTTAGTAGATACGGAAACGAGGGGACAGCAGGTCTTGGACGTGTCTTTGACGGCTGCGTAGTGGGACCAGCAGAGATGATTTGCAGGCTTTCTCCTTTTTGCAGCACAGAAGAGAAGGTAGGAAGGCAGCTCAGGTCGGCTGTTATTTATTTATTGTTATGAGCATTGGGTGACTGTCACAATGTCAGAATTTCCGTTGTGACACAGTAGGAATAAACTCATCCTAATAACAGAATTAGCTATCAGACTGCGCTGCCTTGGGCCAGGTCTGAGTCTGGCTCCAGCTGGGTTACGGGGTAATGAAGTTTGGTTGACGTTCGTTCTTTCTAATAGTATCTCCGTTTATTATGGCGAGTGAATCAGAGCTAACTGCCCAAGCTAATGTTAGCTGCGCAGCTCATTAGGCTGGCTGCTTCGGGGAAGCTAGTTAGCAGAGTCGCTACTTAATTTTAGCAATAGTGCTCTCTGTAGTGTGACTAAGAGCCTTCCCTGCTGCTGCTAAGCTTGTCGTGATTCTGCAGGTTTTATTTTGTCAGTGACTTCGTGGCCATTTAGTTCGCTTTCTCTCTGTTTTGTTGTTGTCAAACGCACTGGCACGCAAGAAGTGACGTAAAACGTGTGCGTTTCTTTACGCAGGGAACATGTGAATGGCCGAACTTCTAAGCCAAAGATCTTTTCGCTTCAAGAAGAGTCACTCCTTAAGTTCTTGAAAAAGGTCGTCCCGCCTTTATCTGTGAAAGTATGAAAGCTCATCTCCTAGAATGGAATAGTCACTTGTTATTTGCAGTATTTTCAGCAATATAGAAATACGGTTTAAACACACGCGATGGTGTTTACTGTATTTGTTACATTTTATTAAGAAATAAAGAAATCGTTTGAAGTCTAAATCAAATCGCAAAAGACCTAAACGACCTTGATGCTGATTGTTCATTTCCTTTCCTTGCTTATACTAAATTGATTATATTCCTGCAAACTTACTAATTATTGACATCAGTCTCACAAAAAGGCATTATTGGTTGGGCTCTAAAATCAAACTGGGTTGAACCAGTTATATTTCACAGTGTATTTATTTGTATTTGGGTCAGATGTCTTAAAC